TAGCGAGCGTTTAACCTAACACGTTAAGGCTTTTTCTTATTTGTTCCTTTTTGGTCTGTTACAAAAAAAATAAAAGTATTTTCATACGTCTGTTAAGTGCCAACAAAATACCTATTAATCTTGCCAAGCACTCAGTGCTGTCTGTGCACTCTGCACTTTAATCTCAATGTTGACAGGAACGGTGTTTAGACTACAGAACAGCTTCCCCTTATGTTATGCAAGAGAGGAGGAGTTGTGTAGTCTTAACATGTTGCCTGTCTTGGGGGGGACAGTGATACTCCTCTATAGATGCTCCTCTATAGATGCATTACAGTGAGTAAGCGTTTTCTCCCTATGACATGGAGGCTATAATTCAATAAAGCATTTGCACTTTTCTGGCAGATTTGGAGCATTAGAAAGTCCTTCACCTAATTCATGACAGCCATATGATAGTTCCGTTCATAGTTCTGACACATGGGACAGACTTGGGTAGTTCTTATTTGCGCAACTTTCACAATGCGTTGTTATGGCTGCAACCAATACAAAAAGAAATATAGCTGCAAGCGGCAATAAAGGTGGCCAAGCAGTAGAGCCGGTTATAGTACATGAGAAGATATTGTAGATAGAGGGATAAAAAGCAGGACATGATTTAATGAATTATAAAACAAAATGAAATTCAAAATGGCCGCCTACCTTGGTGACCTTTGGAACCCATATAGTATTTGGCAGTTATGATGTTGAGTTATCATATGTTTAACATACTTCAATACTGATAAAAATGCACGTTTATGCAATTAGATGCAATTTTAAAAGTGGCTGGCTTGTGGCGGCCATATTGATTTTGGAACCGGGCCTCGTTTTTTCAACCGTGGTAGAAGGGGAAGCCCTGAACATATCGGCAAAGTTTTGAATTAATCTGATAAATGGTTTCAGAGTTAAAGTTGTTTGCAGAATTTTGCATAATCCAAAATGGCTGCCAAACAATGTGGTCACATGACCTGTAATAAACATGACTGTAGAGCTCAGCATATCCTCAGCAATTTGTATTTCTGTAGCCTTAGCGGTTATGAAAAAACATATTTGAAAATTGTCAGAAATTGGTTTGCTTAAACCAAGATGGCCACCAGAGCATGCGACCTATGACCTTTGTCACCAAGGATTAAACACAGCACCTTTGTCTACCGTTGTGCCACATTTCATTAGTTTTTACATAAGTGTGTTTATAATAGTTTCTGAGAAACGGATGATTGAATATGGAGCTGAATATAATTGCCTAAAACAAGATGGCTGCCAGGCAATGTGACCTATGACCTTTCTATTGCAAATGATTAGGCATAGCACAGAGCTCTACCATTGGGCCAAGTTACATGAGTTTGTGAGTAACAGTGTGCTTATTACAGGCTTTTGAAGAATAGGCCATAACAATAATAACACCATCTAAATATGATTTGCTTGCAGCAGCCATTTTGGTTTTTGGACTGGGTCTATTTTTACAAGCGTGGTAAAAGAGGTCAACCTGGACATATGTGCAAAGTTTTGAGTTATTCTGATAAATGCTTTCAGAGTTAAAGTTGTTTGCAGAATATTGCACAATCCAAAATGGCGGCCAAACCATGTGACCAATAGAGCTATAATGAACACATGTGACAAGAGAGCACAGCATAACAAGCACAGCAAGTTGTACATTTGTAGCTTTACAATGTCTGAATAGTTCACACAAATCGTCGCAAAAACCAAGATGGCTGCCACCTCATGTGACCTATGACCTTTATATTATAATAAGCTCTGCATGGCACAAGGCTCTACCATTGTGCAAAGTTTAATGAGTTTTTGACAAACAGTGCACTTACTACAGACATTTGAAAAAAGCTGCATAATAATAATAATAAAAAAATAATCCGCACAATAACAATACGTGTCCTTGCAACTTCGTTGCTTGGCCACCTAATTACCAGCATTTTGTAGATGAGGTAATTAAAAATAACTTCATGTTGACATTTAAAAGACTGGCCAGAGCGGTCAGATTGGGGCCGCTGTGTATGCTGCGTGGTGTCAGGAAGTCAGTAAGAACAGGGCATTTCTGTGTGCACCACTGACCACCTCTGTCACAGGATGCTAGGAAACTGTCTGCTGAACTGTCACTGGCTGTTTGGATGCTGTTGGCTGCACTTTGTCATTGGTTGCTGGGATGCGATTGACTGCACAGAACATAACAACCAATGACAATGTGCAGCTGTGGCCTGAACATGCACTGAGCACACTTTGGCCTTGGTGCTGACCCCCACCACGTCTCCTTGCGACAAATTCATGCATGTCTTACCACCGTTTACATGGTATTCAATTTGTTGCACAAGCTTTTACCAGAATACATAAAGATGTCTGTGACAGTCTTTATGAATTCATCAGGGGTTATTTTACTGGCATCTTCACCAGGGGAAAGTGAAGGATAAAATGCCTGGAAAAGAAAACGAATGAACTTGAACGTTACAAGATTTTCAATCTATAAACATTTTTTTAACGGTCTTGCAAAGGAAAAATTATTCCAATACATAAGCTAGTCACTCTCTATGTATTACCTGCCATGTAGGCTAGGTTCACACCATTTTCTGGACCAGATCTGAACTGGAACGCAGTGGATCGTTTTTGCCACGTTCCGGAGCAGTTTTTTTTATTTTTTTGTTAGCTTAAAATGGGCTTTCAGGTGCTTTCCAGTGCATTCCATGCGTTTTTTATGCATTTTTTATGTGTTCCAGTGCATTCGAGACCAGACAAAATGAGACATGCAGTATTTTTCTGGTGTGGTCTGGAGCGGACTGCGCTGGTGGGAGCAGAGGCCAGAAATAGCATAGGGATACATTGTGATGCATTTTGGGTCTGGAAACGGTCTGGTCTGAAGGTGATCTGGATGTGGTGTGTATAAGCCCTTAGGCCTTGTTTGCACCAAGCGCGTTCCAGGAGCAGAACAGTTACAGACCGGATCAAAACTGCGTCCAATGTATACCGATGGTATTTTGGGCTCTAGTTCACACCGCGGCGTTAAGTTCCAGAGCAAGAAAAAAAACTGCAGCAAACCCTATTTTACCTGCTCTGGAACGGTCTGGAATGCATGCAAACGCATCAAAATGCATGCAAACGCCCCCTTTAAAAACGGCCCGGTACGCAGAAAAAACGTTGCACAACCCACTGCAAAGCGTGTGCAGAAACTCATGCAGATCTGGTCTGCATTTGGTGTGAACCAACCCTTAATGGGCCCATAAACTTTCTGAATATTGCATAGGGAATGATCATACCATGAAGAGCATGTTCCGATCCAGCATCTATACCCAATGTCCTAAAAACATCCATAAAGCATGATGCACAGCACTACATTGTCTGTGCCTAAATTGATCCTGTGAGAATTTAAATATACTAGCTGCCATTCCTGAATAGTATTTAAAGTGTAAACTCAGAGATCATGCTGAATTATCTTCTACATTGTTGTTCTTTGACGTGGAACAAGTTTGAAAGACTGGAGTTGCTGTTTTACATTTCACTTGCTGAATGCTTGTCCCAGATCAGTGACCCAGTAGGGTGGAGTTTTACTGGTTTTTAAAAATGAATTGGCACCTGCAGCAACCATATTTTTAGGGTACACAATAAAACTTCTAATAGAGCAGTTATTTTCTAACAGTCAGCTTGTTACCTGATACTCATTTCCTTATGATATTAAATGGTTGCAGGAATGCTTTAACGCAACAGCAGGTACTTCCAGGCAGCTAAAATGGTACGTAGGAAGAGATGCATTGAATGTTTCACCGTGTTGGGAGCTGACTGAAACCAAAGGCAGATGTTTTTCCCATATTAATCTGAGTGTGCTCTGTGCTGTAGGGGCAATATTTTAGTTCTTTGTTTCTGTTATACTGATCAGATAATGTTGGTATGTGTAAACATTAAAACATAATTTGTTCTATTCCTTTTTACCCAAGCACAAGATTAAATAAATGACTAGAATTGTCACACATACAGTTCTTGTGTATATCATTAGGTTTTTAGGAATCAACTAAACAGTTCAGTGTTATTCTTTCCCAGGGACTTTCTGGCTTATCTTATCCAAAAAAATAATAAATTGAACTTTGAGTGAATATCAAACACAACTCGGGTGGAAAATGTTCTGGCCGTAAGGTGTTAAAGTGACAAAATTCAGGAGTTAAATCTTAAAAATGCATTCAACTGTAGATCCTCAAATCATCTCTGAATTCATGCTGACACAGTCCTTCCTTCTGGAGGGTGGCTATTTTTGTTCCCCATGGTCCCTGTGTATGTTGTAAAATAGCCACCGCTCCAAGCTCGCTCCCGTGATGGACTACAATCTCAATACAAATGAATAAACTATGCATGAGATTGTAGTCCATCACAGGAGCAAGCTTGGAGTGGTGGATACTTTACAACACACACAGGGATCATGGGGAACAAAAGTAGCCCCCCCTCCAGAAGGAAGGTGTCGGCAATTCAGGCCTGGTTCACACCTAGGCAATTTATTGCATGCATTCAGTCGCGCAATAACGTGCATAACACAAAAACCCATACAATTCAATGGCGGCAGCTCACACCTTGGCATTGTGTCACGAGTACCGGTGCAAAGAAAGCGCTGGGCCAGAAAATTAGTAAAATGTTTAAAAAAGGAAAATTCTGACCTGTCTAAGTTTGAATTGGTCACTGCATTACTGTGATCTTAGACTGACCAGTCCAACTGCATAATAATTTATTGGGCCTGTCTTCAAAAGGGGGTCTATTGAGCATGCTGTTAGTGGACATGGTTGTTGCTATTACTATTTAAATGTATTTGATGTGTTTTTTGTTTTTCAATTTTTGAATGTAAATGTAAAATGTTTATGAATGCTTTAAATTAACTGACAATGTTGATAGATTTTGGGATTACAATATATTACACAAAGGTTTGCAGTAATTTTGTGGCAAAGCACCTTTTGTATAGTTCATATCATATTGTTAATGTATGTTTTCTCTTTGCTTATGGTCTGTAGACACAATTTGAAGTGGAAATCTTTAATGTCCGTGGAGAGCAGGCTGTCCAGGTTACAAAGCTGGAAGAGACCATACAGAGCTTGCAAGAGGAATTAGAAAATCGTCTGAATAAGGGAAAAGGAGAAAGCTGCGATGCCTGTGTTTCTACTGAAGATGATAACCAACCAAAAACCTTTCGCAGTGTTTACATCCAGACTGATAGGGACACGTTTCTGAAACCCAGCGAGGAGGAAAACAAAATTCAAAAGAGCAGCCAAATTGTTCCTAAGAGGCTGAATATACCATCACTGATTCAGAGCTTAGCGAGCCCCACAGAATCTCAGGAATCATCTTTGGGTGTGCCTACCTCCTTATCAAATTCTGGATCAGTTCCACCACCTCCTCCTTTCCCTTCATTTTGCGGTCCTACACCACCACCACCACCTCCCTTACCAGGTTTTGTGCCACTGCCCCCACCTCTACCACCAGCTTTAGGACCTCCTCCTCCACCCCCTCTTCCAGGCTCTGGTCCTCCACCTCCTCCACCACTGCCAGGCTCTGGTCCTCCACCTCCTCCACCACCACCTCCAGGCTTTGGTCCTCCACCACCTCCTGGTTCAGGAGCTTTCTTTAGTGGGCTTCTTCTGTCATCAAAGGAAGCAGCTCGCAAGCCCCATCTGAAGCCTAATTGCCCTATGAAGCCACTGTACTGGACAAGGATTCAGATAAAAAGTAACAGGTAATATAAAAATGCTATATAACAATTCTTTGAAAACTCACTTAGGCTGCTCATAGTGGGAGGTGTGTTCACCAACAGAAGAAAGGTTCCCTACCAAATGCCCTACCAAATGGCAAACAGGACTTGAATAATCTGCTTTAGGGTGGCTTCACATGAATGCGTGCATGTGTTTTACTGTGGTGCAGAACAGCACACAGTGTATGTGCCTTGTCGTGCATTGCCATTCATTTTCAGTGTCATGCAAACATGCATACATAGAAAACAATTTTACCTGCTGCTCTCCGCAATGTATGTAATAGAACAGAACAGATGTGTTGCCTTGCAGTGTGCTGAAAAAAAAGAGGCTGTGGCACATTTTGGTCCATATATGTATGTTGAGGGTCTAATAAAAAGTGAACGGGTGGCACATGACAATGTATGGGTGTGAATGTGCCCTTAACATCTACTCAGGTAATGAAGATTTGTAAAACGTAGACTGGATAATTCCTTAATACTAGGACTGGAAATTGCTTTTGAAAATGTTAAATAGAATGATAGATGGAGATAGATGAAGATAATGTATATAATTATATTTTGTATCACTATATATTGTTTTTTTTACATTCTTTTAGTAACCTAGGAAGTGGTATCAAACTTTCCTTGTGGGATACACTGAAGGAGCCAGATATAGCAGACACCAAAGAATTTGAGGAGTTTTTTTCTAAAGCCAGTATTCAGCAGAAGAAAAAGCCTCTTTCAGAATCTTATGAAAAGAAAACAAAAGCAAAAAAGGTATGTACACGTTTCTTACAAAAAAGGACATTTTGGGCACTGTTATTTTATGAGTCTTCTACTAGACAAAAAAAAATATTTCACCCAGTACAGTGGCGTATCCATGGCATGACACGTATGGCACATGCCCTGGGCGCCACTTTAAGGGGGAATGCTACTCCGTAAGTCAGTGAAAGTTCGCTGACCCACGCTGCTGCCGGTTAGCTGCTAGGACTGCCTGGAATCCTAGCATCCAACCACCAGCAGCCAGGGAGTTGAATGATTACAGCAGGTTAAATAACACCGCTGGGGGTTGTTTGCTAGGACCACCCGGCGTTCTACTAACCAACCAATTACTCTCTGCCTCTCCAGTCTGCCCCCTTTCAAGCATGGGCACCAATACAGTCAGGCTGCCTGGACGCCCTGCTGCATCTCACAGCACAGTGAAGAAAGCCTGCCTGCAGCATGACCCCACTTTGCCACTGCCTGCTTCCACTCAGATCACAGATCAAAAGTCAACGAGGCCCTGCCCAGTCAGCATGTGTGTGGAGCAGTGTGCAAAGAGCAACATTACTACAGAGCAGGTTCCTGCAGGCTAAAAGGATGGGGAATGGGGGAAGAAGCAGGCTGTACAAGGATGGTGACCGTAATGGCAGGCTTTCATCCTTCTTGCACCGAGGCAGAGCATTAAACGAACAGTTCAGCACGCTATTGTGCAACACATCTACCGTGCGTTGGTGTGTTCATTTCATTGCACCCCAAACGTACCTCCTGGCCACAATTCATTCAACTGTGGCATAACGCGCGGGACCGTAATACAGTGCAGTGTGGTAGAAAAAAGTAGTGCATGCCGGTTTTGTACACCACAGCGCATGCTATTGCTGTACTTCATGTTTTGCAGCTGTTATACACATACACATTGCCATTCAAATTAACGCAATGTAACTCAAGGTAGGTGCATTCCACAATAGCGTGCGTTAATCACCTAGAACCATGTGGTTACCCACTACTGTCTGGCCGTTGTAACGTTGGCTTAGATGCGGGTGGGCGCTGAGCTGCGCACACGAGTGGGAAACAGACTGTAATTTAATAGCCGGCAATCGTTGTTTACATACATCGCTTGTATGCTGTCTGCATGTGTGCGCCCTCCGCCGCTGCCTATCCCAAGCTTCACTGTACTCCCGTGCGAGGCCAGGACCGTAACAGACTCTGAATGCAGATCGGAGGGAGGTCGTTCTCCTGCTGAGTGCGGAAGTGATTACATACGTCTTTAGCTGTCATTGCTCCGGCTTCTGTAGCTAGATTTCGGCTTCATCAGCTTCTTTGGGGGTCCCTAGGTGACATTACGGGTCTTTAAGACCCATGATGTCGCCATAAAGAGGACCTGTCATAGTAAATTAGATGTAAAAAAAAAAATTAGTCACATAAACAAAAACACAAAAAAAAGTCCCCCACCCACACATACACATGTAAATGCAAGCATGTGTACGGTGCGCCTACGTGCGAATATGACAATTGCACCCATTGCGCTGCACATGTTAAATATTACCACGAACGTCGGAGCGTGAGGAGTAATTCTAGGGAATCAATCACTGAGGACTCTAAACTGATGAGCGCTTAAAGCTTTTAAATCGTCGCCTATGGACAATTTTGGTTATGTAGTGTTTTGCAATTTCGCGGATGCATGCAATTTTAAGGCTTGACCTGTTTTGTGTTAATTTACCGACATGACCCCGTCTTTTATATTTTACCAAAAAAGTGGGTTATAAAACATTTCATAACATAACGTAAACAGTTTTGTTTTTTTTGTTTTTTCCCCCCCACAATTTTCTGTACTTTTTTTCTTTTATATAGTAAAAAATAAAAACCCCAGTGGTGATTAAATACCACCAAAAGAAATGGGTGAGAGGTGACAGTAGTTGTCTAGACTCTGGTTTTCCAGATGATTCAAGTGCAGAGCCTACAAGTCTCGGCAATACATTATGCCGCGATGCAGAATACCACCAGCTATAGAGGACTACAAATCCCAGCAGTACACTATCCAGGAATTCAGACTATCACCAGCTAGCAGCAGGGGTGCTGATGGTCTCAGGAGGAATGTGAAAGGTTTCTGGAGGGGTACAGAGGGTTTTTTTCACAATAAACTTGGCTTTTATTTTTAGCATTATTATTATTATTAGTCTTCAGGATTTATATAGCGCCAACAGTTTGTGCAGCGCTTTACAAAATTGAGGGAGACATTACAACACAATTCAAGACAAGATGGGTAAGGATGGCCATACCCAAGGGGGCTTCCAATCTAAAAGGGACGGGAAAGTAATACATGAGGAGGTAGCTGTGTGGGGATGAATTGTTTGAGACTCTTTGACAAGGAGGCCTGGAGAGCTTAGGCCCCGTTCACACCTGGGTGTCTTGTAGCATGTTCCTACGCTCTGCAAAACGCTCAAACACCGAATACACCTGGGCTTATTACAGGCCATATGAACGCGCTACAAAATGCCCTACGCCCAAAGAAGTGCAGGAGCTTCTTTGGGGCACGTATCCATTGGGATACAGCCAGGTAGCCCTGGGAAACGCGCATTTGTCCACGGCAAATTTTTGCTCTTGGTTAGCAGCTTCCATTGTAACTTCTCAGTGTCCCAGTGCCTGTAGAATAATCCATTTTGGTTACACTCACAAATTCTAGTAGTCTGCTTTTGGCCGTTTTCCAGGCTTCCTCACAGGTGCACCCTCTCCCCGACTTCTTTTTTTCTCAGCTTGGCTCCCGCTCTGACAGCTGCAATGTCAGGCGAAGGCTGTGGCCTTGTTGTTGACAGGCCACGGATCGGTACCGGTCTGTGGTCTGGGTGTTAAGGACCCCAGTTAGAGGGATTGGCAAGTTTCTGATGCCTATATTGCATATGTGTGTGTACTTCTGCCTGTGCGTTACATACTACTGACCCCTCCACTCTGTGTAACTTACTCCTGAGCTTTTGAACAGTACGTTATAAACTATTGATCACTGTACTCTCCCTTAGTCCTGACCCCTGCACCATTTACATTACATACACTTGACACCTGCACTATGTACATGTCATACTTCTGTCTCCTGTGCTCCGTATGTAGGCTCAAGTTTTTAGCCCCTCCCACTGTTTTGCTACACCTATCCCCTGTGGCACGATGTGCGCGTCTCCTCATTCGTGTCCTCTGGGTAACTAAGGGGGTGGGAAAGGGGCCCTTCCCAGACTTTAGCTCTGCTCACCTGCCTCAGTCAGCCACCCTCCCCTGCCCAAGTAAGCTACTGCAAGGGACACATAAGAGGGAACTCTAGACTATATGAAATAAGAGGCAACACTGGAGAGTCGTATGTAAAGGGGGACTCTGAGTCCCCAGCATCCCTCCTTACATCAGAGTCCCCCCCTTAGATCCAAATCCTTACGATTCTGATGTAAAGGGGGTCTGAGGAGACGCTGATGTAAGGAGGGACTCTGATGTAAGGGCAGACTGTTGTTATATATCTATGTGGTGAGTGCACATTGCCCATGGGGCTTAGTGTGTGACACTGGGAGGATCACCGAGCACAAGCACTTTAAATGTTTTTGGATTTGAAGAACGACTTATGAATTTTGATCACGAAGCACAAGCACTTTATATGTTTTTGATTTGAAGAACGACTTATGTACTTTGGTTGTTTGTTCACATTTATCACTGATAAAATTATTGTTTTTTTCAGCCACATTTATTTATTCACATTTATATCTAGATGGTTGATATCCGGTCTTTATAATCATGTTGGTTTATTAATTTATTATATTCATTTCACATCACTTATTTACACGGTATTTGTAATATCTGGGGTATTTAGCGTCGCATTATTACCATCCATACTTCTAGGACCTCTGTGTCTGTTCTGTGGCAGCTTTATTACCTGTATTAGGTTTTTTTTCCATAAGCGCAGATCTATAGACATATATATTCTATGCAAAGTTTGACTTCAGTCATTTTAGAAAAACATTCAGCCCTTTCTAAACCCTGACATCACTGTGATGTACATAGCCTGTTGCAGAGAGCAGAGCTATGGGAGGGACCCAGCAGGTCAACCCACAGCAGGACTACCGACTGCCTGCAGAAAGCTACAGGAGTTGGATGGATACAAGACCAGTCACCCTGGACAAGGAGAGCACAGAAGTCACTGGTCTTTATTACAGGAAGCTCTTGAACAAAGGAAAAGTTTCACACTGGATTATTGTACAGATCTTGGCAAAATAGAAAAAGATGAAGTAAGATTATACATGCCCCTTATATTTAGACGATATTTGCTTATCCTGGAGTTCAGCTTAAAGTCTCCTAGTGTTTCTGAAATGTTGCAGCATTCCCAATTCTTTAATGTGCAATTGTACTTTAAACTTTTTTTTTTCCCTTCGTTGCCCCCCTTCCCCAAGTGCTGCCCACCTTGTTCTGTTTTCAGCCCCAATCCTGCTATCTCCGCTGTGCGGCCCCACTTGGAGCTCCTAAAATAGCCACTTTGTACTGCAGATACACACTGCAGCCCCATTCATTCCTAAGGGAAAACCAGACTCTTGACAGCATGCAACAGTGGCTGTACAGTATGTGCAGTACAAAGTTTCATAGGAAAGGCTGTGCAATTCGCATTGGGGCTGCATGATGATCACTAGATTGGGGATGAAGGTAAATATAAGACCAGGTGGACAGCACTTAGAGTTAACTGTACCTGACATTTTGCCTTAGTCCTGCTTTTTTATTTTAGCAGGTGTGCTGAAGGGTAAGAAAGTATCTGCTTAGTGTAACAGCCAAGTGTCAAAGTCTTTGTTGCACAGACATTGTTTTTAACCAAGAAGTAGTACAGGCCATGAATGGCATCCTGCACCACCAGACTGCTAGAATTTGCCAACATTTTGGCAACCAGTGTAACGATAATTAAATTATTGCGCTGTATAATGATTTTACAGTGCAAGGCAGAATACCACCAGCTGTAGCGGAATACAAAACATTCTGGCGATACATTATACATACACCTGCAT